CTAAAAAAGAGGGCGTCCCGAACAAACTTGGAAATTCACGATTATACGAGAACTCCTGCACACGCCACCAGCGTCAGCAGAATCATGTGACTTCCGCTGTCGTAACATTACATTGGTGTCGAGAATATAGAATTTGGACAAACGATTAAGTGATAGAAAATACTGTTACGTCTCTGTTCGTTTGTTAATTTCCAGTAGAAATTATTTCCGAGAAACTTCAGCGATACAAGTTCTTTCTTAACTACAACTAGTTTATTATTTCTCGATACAACTTTATAATACACAGAGTTTCCACAGTCAGTACGTTTGCAATCTCGATAACAAAACACACACTTTATATTACCGTCACTACCGCTCACTTGACTCAATTATCTGTCTCTATCTCTATCTCTCTGCAATTCTATTCTCCGCTTTATTTGCCGGGCTTATATACTAAAATAGAGGGCGCCTAGAAAAGACTAGAGTTGCCAGGAAAAGTCATGATATTTCTAGAAACTCATGACGTGTTACCAGCGTCACGTGACTTCCGCTGTCCTAACAATATATATATATATAATTTTGATATTTTATTGTTGCTGTTAAGGTAGATAAATATATTTGTTTCTTCTGTATTGTAAACTTGTCTAAGCTATATTTCTTACTATTAATAATTTAGTCATTTGTTGTGTTTTATATTTCAGAATTGGCAAGCCTGGTTCAAATCTATGTAATATCACAAAGTATTGACCACACTTTAAACTGTGGGTGTGTTATAAGTGTGACAGTCAATCCCTTAGTGTTGACAGTAAAATACTGATGACTGGCTACTTTCCCTCTAGGCAGTAGTTCAAAATTAGTGATGGCAACAGATAGCTTTATTAGCTTTACCATAAATACTAAAACTTACTAATAATTTACATCCGTTTTCTCGGTCTATTCTCAGACTAGCAGTAAAAGTAGAGTCAGTGTTAGATCGAGTATGACAAATGGAACCCCATATATATATACAATACATAAGCCTTGGCAAAATATTTTTGTTGTGGCATTTCTTTTGTTGGCGGGTTATTTTGAATTATCCAGTGAAAATAATTCAAAGTCCAGTCCACATAATGATAGTGAATGACTACTTCCTTCTTTAATTAACGTTTCTACAAACTTGAACACTTGTACGCATCAGTAAATTGCTGTAGGCCTACGTTCTAAATGACTATTACTAACGTAAAACAAAGTAATCGCGATACTAAAAATACCGACTGGTTCATTCTTTAACTTAAAATCACGCTTTCCATTTCAAAATTATTTCGTATTTGTAGTCTAGCTTCAAATTCGTTAGAACACTTTACGTCATATCCTTAGAGTTTTTCTAGATGTTCTATTATTAATTCTTCTTGCCAAAATTAAAATCCGTAGCTCCCTCTATTTAATATTTAAATTGCAACATTAAAATATAGCTTACAACAATACTTAAGATATGTGGTGACTTAGCTTTCCTGCGTTACATTTTCCTTTGTTTTTGTTATAATTATTTATTTATTTGCGATACCATGTACGTGTTCTTTGATTGACACAGTGAAAGTTGGCGTATCTGTTTTGCTTGCGTGTGTATGTGTCCTCTTTCTCAACTGAAGGGACTAGTATGCTTACGTAATACGGCTAAAAAAAGTAGGCCTAATTTATAAATATATTTCTCCCTCTCTCTGTGCTAATATATATTTATATTTATTATATATGTGTATATAATAGTAAATTTCATAATATGTTTTTATACAAGAAGTGCACAGGAAAATTTGAATAATATACAAAATAGCTAAGTTTTAACACACTCTAAGGTTCAAATTCAACAAGAGTATATATAACTATTAAGAATTATAACTTAAAACTAAAAGCTTTTATTTTAAAACGTGCATATGTCTAAACTCAGTAAGAAGCTGTAAAAATGAAATGTTTTTACTGCATAGTATGTGACATTTATTTTTAGAATGAATGATTGAAATTTTACATAGCACGATGATATATGTATATATATATTTATTTGCTTTGTTTCTTAGAAACTTTTATTCCAATACGTGACAAAGAGGGCGTAGGTTTACTTAGGCGAAAAGCTTAGAAAGTGAAATGTTGTGTATGGGTTTTAAAATCTATGTAGAGATGTTCTGTTTCATTATTTAGTAAAAACATTATATAAATATTTATAAGTATAGTATATAAAATACGGTAAGTGTAATTGATTTTTGCTTGGGTGTTTTCAATGACATTTGTTACTTGGCGCTCAATAATGTTAAAATGAACTCGTGCTACATTAGTTGTATACAGTTGAGGTTAATGAGTTAGGCCTTAAAGTAGTTTAACACTTTAACTTAAGGCTTAATTAATGCAAATAAACTTATAGTTATAAAGCTCTCTGCGTATGATATAGACGTAAGCATAAAAATCGCAACTTGTTAGGTCTTATAAAAATATGAATTCTATCGGTAGGTTAGTATAGCGTTTTTAATTTAGCATACAGATTAATGAGTCACGTTTACTGTCTAGTGTCTTACAATTAGTTAGTATTACTATATTATATAGTAATAAACTTAGGTCAACCATTTACTGATTTAGTATGAATTATATTAATGATTATGATTTAACGTATAATTCAAAGATAAAAATCTTTTATCATGCTTCATATAAAATTATAAAGTAAACAGACATTTTACATTCAATAAACTTTAAGTGAGTTAGCTTTTTAAATTTAAGGAAAGCTAGAGAGTTTGTTGAGAAAGAAAATACTTTCTCTCAAGCACTGTAAATCTTTTTCATCATCTTATGAACTGAGTTAAAAATTATTTTATGAAGGCTGTAAAAGTTTAAAATAGTTGCATATGATTAACTTTTTTCCATTAAAGTAATGCTGATCTTTATTTTTAGGCTAAGTTTAAGTAATATTTACAGATGTCTAATGTGTTGTAATGAACAGAGCTAGACTTAATATTTTAAATTGTGTTTTTGAATAAATTGTACCAAAAAACAAATTGGCTCAATAGGAGGAAGTATCCAGTTTTTATATAAGAGAGATTGGGAATGAATTTCACGTTAAAATTTCAGTAAGCATCTACTTTTATGAAAATAATTGGAATTTATGGTGTTTTTCAGCATTACTTACATATTTTAAGATTTGTAATTAATTTACCATTATCACAGTTTAGAAGGAGGTCAAGTTACTGATGATAAGAAGATAGTCAATAATAAGTAGGTATTACTTATTTCTAAAAAGAAGGGATCTAGATAAGAAACAGGATATTAGTATTACAGGCCAGTCACATTGACTTCTGCTAATGATAAGCTGTTGGAATCCACTGTTAGGGATCACTTGGAAAAACATCTTGATGATTAGAATTAGAATAAAAACTCAAAGTGTAGCTTCAAGAAGGGGATTTTTGTCTTACTGATTTGCTGGAGTTGTGTGATAGGGCTTTTGTTTGTCCATATATGAGTACTGCTGTTGATGTTTTGTATCTAGACTTTCAAAAAAAAGCTTTTGATAAAGTTTCTCATAGTAGTTAGATCACCAAGTTTTGATTCTTGTGGAATAACAATTGATTTTAAAAGAGAAAACAGAAGGTTGTGGTAAATGAGCACCATTTTGATTTGAAATATGTGACTAGTGAGATCTCACAATGGTTTGTCCTACAACCATTTTGTTAAATTATTTGAATGTGTTACTGTCAAAGTAAGTAATATAATTTGGCTGCTGATATCAGACTGTTGGGTAAAGCTGCTGCTTTGAAAGGTACTTCCTTAATGAAGAAGGATTTGGACAGTCTTGTGGAATGGATTAATATGTGTTATAGTTATGTATGTCGGGTATGGAAATTTGGAAAGATATATTTTGTGGTGGTGGTGGGGGGTGTGTGGAAAATGAGAAGGATATGTGTGTGTTGTGTTGATTAATAAAAGCTGCAAATCTTTGGCTTGATTTTTGGATTTGGTGAAAATGTTGGTAAAATCGTATTTATAGTGTTCTGTTCAGTTTGGGACCTTTTAGTTTAGAAAAGGGATTGAACTACTTAAAAACAATTCAAGGGTGAATTACCAAAATTATTCTTGTTTGAAATATTTAAGCTGTGAAGAGAGCTTTAAAAATTAAAGTAATTTTACTTGTAACACATATGTACAAGAGGTGACTTGATTCAGGATTGTAAAATTGATATGACTTAGATAAACTGTTCATGGGAGGTTTGTTGGACTGACAGAAGGATTAAAATTGATAGGACTTGGATAAACTGTCAATGGGAGGTTTGTTGGACAGATAGAAGGATTAAAATTGATAGGACTTGGATAAACTGTCAGTGGGAGGTTTGTTGAACTGATAAAAGGATTAAAATTGATATGACTTGGATAAACTGTCCACAGGAGGTTTGTTGGACTGATAGAAGGATTAAAATTGATAGGACTTGGATAAACTGTCAGTGGGAGGTTTGTTGAACAGATAAAAGGATTAAAATTGATAGGACTTGGATAAACTGCCCACAGGAGGTTTGTTGGACTGATAGAAGGATTAAAATTGATAGGACTTGGATAAACTGTCAATGGGAGGTTTGTTGGACAGATAGAAGGATTAAAATTGATAGGACTTGGATAAACTGTCAATGGGAGGGGACAGTTTATCCAAGTCCTATCAATTTTATCATTCTATCAGTCCAACAAACTATCCATGAGCAGTTTATCCAAGTCCTATCAATTTTAATCCTTCTATCTGTCCAACAAAATTCTATCAGTCCAACAAACTACCCATGGGCAGTTTATCCAAGTCCTATCAATTTTAATCCTTCTATCAGTCCAACAAACCTCCTGTGGGCAGTTTATCCAAGTCCTATCAATTTTAATCCTTTTATCTGTTCAACAAACCTCCCATTGGATTAAAATTGATACGACTTGGATAAACTGCCCACGGGTAGTTTGTTGGACTGATAGAAGGATTAAAATTGATATGACTTAGATAAACTGTCAATGGGAGGTTTGTTGGACTGATGGAAGGATTAAAATTGATAGGACTTGGATAAACTGCCCACAGGAGGTTTGTTGGACAGATAGAAGGATAATGGTTGGGATGAAATACTAAATATTGGAGAAAATAAGTATAAACTGTGAAACACCATGTTCATTCAGGTTATTTTACAAAAGTCTTTCCTTGTTAGAGTCGTTAATAATTGCTCAGCTCAATTATTAACATGATTAATCAATATAATCATTATAAATAATTACTTATGAGTGTTGATTATTGATAGAAAAATAATCAAGTATTCAAAATTATGATTAGTCTAAATATTATCATGAAAATGATAAATTTAATATTTCTGATTATTACTGTTTTTTGATTATTTCAACTATCCAAGTGATCCAAATATTGCCATTATGAACTGTCATTATTATTTTTGATTAATTCAAGGTTATTCAGCTTAATCAATTAGTATAATTACTCACAAAAATAATCAGTTAATCAAAATTATAGTTTTGTGTTATTATTATTCTAAGTCTCATGAGAATAATTTATTAGTCGAATGTTATCAATTAATGAGCCCAACATTTAACTGATTATCAACTTCCACTAATTGTAGAGTTTTAGTTGTTAACATGGAATGATTTTCCTGAAAATGTGATGTGTGCCGATAGATTGGACTTGTTTTTGTTCAATAATTTCATAGATACCAGATGTTATGTTTAGACCAATTTCCTTGTAGGGTGATGTTGTAGACCAACTAAAAATATATGTAGGCTTTCTGTATATTCAGTTAGATTGTGTTATCCTACCTTTAACATTTGCTTTGAGGTCTGTCATTAAAATTGTGCCAACTATCCCTTATATTTATGTTGATCACCTATGGGTTTATGTTTATACTGGTGATAAAGATTGAAGTGGTGGGTACATTGTAATGTTTTTGTTGTTTTTTTTTAGTCAGTGAAATAATGCTGTCTTGACTTGTAAGTTTTTGTTTTTTTCAGATTTGGTTGCATCGTCAATGGACCAACGTGTTAGTACATGTGTGTATGGTACACGACTGCAATCAAAGAAAAAAGCCAGTTATGGGAATGTTACTTCTCCTGTTCGATTAAACTTTCTTGATTCTCCATCTGTACTTTATAAAGGAAATGTGGCCAGTAGTCTTCAACAGAACCAGTCTTCATCTGTTAAGCTTTCTTTTCAGATGCACAACATCAACACTTCACCAAGTGATGTTTTCAAGAAAGACTCTGCGAATACATTATCTCTTGAACATGCACAGCCTGGGATGGTGACACAGGACTGTCAAACAATGATCTCAACTTTATCAACACCATTATGTGAGGTTGATGGTCGGTCACCACCAAATTCAGAGGTGCCCAACGGTGTAAACATAAAAATAGAACAGACTCTTTCAACAGGTCCATGTAGCCAAGTTAACATTGGTACAGAACCATTGAACCAACCACCTACTATCATACACCTTTCTTTAACTGACACCATGCATGGAGATGGGGTTATGGATGAAATTCAGAGTTATAAGAGTAAAGGGTTGAACCATTTTCCAAAAACTGAAAGCAGTTGTTCTCTGAAATTTAATTTATCACAAAATATCAAACAGGAAGGTGAACCTACTAGACATAATACTAGTATGGTGTTATCTAATAATAGTGAAAGTAGCCAAAACGTACATGAAGACAAGTGTTCTTTAGGTGAATTGTCTTACAAGAAACAAAGAAGTAATATTAGTTGTAGGTTAACTAATCCTTTATCAACAAGTGATGGAACGAAAAACAGTGCACTAGAGGCTCATTATGTGAATGGGGAACTTGGCATGAATCTGAGTCCCCTTCAGAAGCCCTGTGAAACCTCGAAGATAAAGAGAAAAAATACAAAGCAGTTACCCACCCTAGAATTATCATCACAGATAGATAGTAAAGATTCTAGTAAGAGTAATCCTGTACGTAAATCACCTCGTAAATATAGTCCACGACAAACTAGGAATTGTTGCGTTTCAAATTGGTCCAAAGTTCAATCAGAGAAACCTGTTCAATTACCCAATGTTTTAGGTCCAGAAATTTCAAAATCTCCTTTACCAAACCCTTCCTCTGATGACAAGGCTCGTAAATCACCTCGTAAATATAGTCCACGACAAACTAGGAATTGTTGCATTTCAAATTGGTCCAAAGTTCAATCAGAGAAACCTGTTCAATTACCCAATGTTTTAGGTCCAGAAATTTCAAAATCTCCTTTACCAAACCCTTCCTCTGATGATAAGGCTAAACAACTACAAAAATATAATAAAACCGTTAAGTCTTTAAATGTAACGAGGAGTACAGACCAGAGGTTTGGCACTGTGTGTAAAGATAAAACCGTTAAGTCTTTAAATGTGATGAGGAGTACAGACCAGAGGTTTGGCACTGTGTATGAAGATAAAACTGTTAAGTCTTTAAATGTAACGAGGAGTACAGACCAGTAGGTTTGGCACTGTGTGTGAAGATAAACCGTTAAGCTT